GCGCACGATGTCAAGTGGATGGCGGCGCCACGAAAATGGGAGAGAGCACTGCGTCTTGCCATTGGGCCGCGAGCAATGCTGCTACATTGCCGCAGTCGGGAGCTGGACTGACGGGCGGCATATTCAAAAAGAATGACGGGGCTGGGCGCCCTGGCAGAGCCGCGGCGCTCGGGGCCCGCGCGGGCTGATCCCCACTGGCGCCTGGCGGCTCTGCTCGCTGGCTCACCCCTTCATCGACGGGCTCGCCTGCGTCGCGTCGACGTCGTCTTCCGAACTCTGGCCAGCGCGAACCTCCACCGCGTTAGCACGGCGCGGGCTGCGGTCGCGGCTTCCGCCCCCTGCTGGCTCATCTCACCCCGCGGGTTCGGGTCGCTCCTTGTCCAGCACCACGCGTGGAAGCACTCCTCCTGCTAGCGTCACTGAACCCGACGCTGCGATGACTGTCTCGGGTGGGCTGCCCAGCAGCCGCCAAGCCCTAGGCCTGCAGGGCTGCCTTCTCGCCCGCTGCTGCCTTCGCGCGAGCCCCGGCAGCAGCGCGAGCGCGCGCCCGGCGAGCCGCCCTGCGCTCGCCCCACGCATCCTGACTGGAAGCGGCTGTGGCGTTGGCCTCCTGCTGTGCGTTGTCATCCTTGTCTGCGTTCGCTGCGTCAATCGCTGCCTGCGCCTGGAGCTGGGCTGCCGTCATAGCAGGACAGGCCGCGGCAGGGGGCTGCGCGGCAGCGGCCTGCAGCGCTGCGGCGACGTGCTGCGCGGGCTGCGCAGTCGGGGCAGGATTGGCAGCAGCCGCTGGCTGCGCGGCTGGAGTCGTCGCAACAGTAGTCGCCGCCATGCTCGCTGCCGCCGTGATCTGCGTCAATTCCGACTGCAGTCCGCCCAGTGCCGTGGCCAGCTCCGCGATCTGCTGCGCCATGCTCGCCTGGCCTTGCTGGAGCTCGGCGACGGCTGCGACCGACGCACCTGACATCTGGACAGGTGCGGTCGCCACGGGCGTGGCGGGCGCCACTTCCTCCGCCACAGGCGTTGCGGCGCCCTGCATCTCGCCGTCATTGGCGGCAGCTGGCAGCGGGGAGAGGGTCTCGAGCTGCTGTAGCAAGACCTGTGCACGGGTCAGCTCGCTGGCGCGATGCTGCTGGACCAGCTGGCGAGCCTTGTGCTCAATCATGGCCTCGTGCGCCGCCTTCTCTGCACGATCGGAACGGCGTTGGGCGCGCTCGACGAACGCCCGCTGCCACGCCAGGCGCGCCTCCGGGGTCCTGGCCGCGATGGTCATCGTCATCAGGACTGAGCATTCCTGCTCCTGCGCCTCTAGGATGCTGGTCGGCAGGCCGAGCTCGCGGGACGCGCGAAGCATTTTTGCCGACGCCGCTGCCATGCGGCGGAGGTTGCGCCTGTGGTTGACCAAGGCAGCAGGATCCGTCGGTGGCTGCACCCAGGCCGGGTGCGCACGCGCCTGCTCTGGCATTGCAGGGAGCACACCAAGCGCCTCCTGCGGTCCTGTTGGACGATCCGCCGTCTCCTCAGTCGACTCGGCCTTGCTCTCATCGAGCGTGACGTCAGTAGCTGGCGAGCGACGGCGGGATGACTGGCGTCGGGAGGGCACCTCTGGGGCTGGTTCCTCCGCATGCTCGCCATCTCGCTGCTGGGGGTAGGGCGGCGGCGGAGCACGGCTCGGGCTGCGCTGACGGCTGGGGCGAGCGCTGCTGCGCGCCGACCTTCAGGTACGCCTCCGTCGCCGCTGGTCACGTCCACTTCCTCCGTGCTGATCTCACCCGCTGCCCGCTGCGTGCTGCTGCTGCTGCTGCTGCGGCCCACTGCCTGCATGCTACTGCTGGTACTTCGGCTGGTCGCGGAAAACGCTGAACGCCGCAGGACTCTGCTGCGGGAGCGGGTAGCAGGTCCTGCGCATCAGGTCAGTGGCGGCATTGGCGTGCCCGCATGCTGGACACCACCACGGCGGAGGCGGCATGGACGGCGGGGACTGACCGCCCTTTCCTCCGCCGCCTTTGCCTCTGGCCTGCCACGCCATGGCGCTGTGGTGCGTTGCGAGACACTTCGCGGCACTCACCAGCCGCAGCACCACACGGGCCTGTGTACGCTGTTGTCGGGCACGCATGTGCCAAGCCGGCTCGCTGCCGCCTCCGCTGGGGTGCTGTCGCGGCGTGCCGCCAGCAGGCGGGCGCCGCCACGAGCAGCGCGAGGCACGCCAGGAGCAGGCCCGCCGCGGGCAATGCGAGCGGCGGCGCGGCCGGGCCCGCACGCCCGATGCGCGGGCGCGGGCCGGCGCGCGTGGCTGCCCGTTGCCCGCCCCGAGAGAGGTTCGCCGTACCTGGTGCGGCGCCCGAAACCTCTTGAGCCAAAATGGCTACGGAGGAGGAGGGGGAGCGAGGAGGAGGGTGAGGAGGAGGAGGAGTAGGAGGAGGAGGAGGAGGAGGAGGATGAAGTGAAGGAAGGGCCTCCTCCTTCTCCCCCTTCTCCTCCTCTTCCTCCTCCTCGTCCGCCTCCTCGTCCGCCTCCGCCTCCTCCTCCTCCTCCTCGTCCTCCTCCTCCTCCTCCCCTTCCGCCACTCTGAGAGGGGCGGCGGTAAGGAGGAGGAGGACGAGGAGGATGGGGAGGAGGAGGAGGAAGAAACATGGACGATGAGAGGATCATAGCGATGAAGAAGAAGAGGTACATCAACAACGATGTTGCAAGACACCTTCCGTTTACAGGTCCCTCCTCAGAAGTCCCTACAAGCAAGAAGTGTCCCCTGGATTGACCCACGGCCTATGGGTCTGCCACTCAGGCGAGAGCCCCGCTGTGCAAATGAATTTGCCCTGCGCACTTGGAGCGAATCGTGTTGGCAAGCGTGGACCCCAAAGAGAACGTCATTCCACTGTGGCTGTGCAAGCTGTGTGGAACAAGCCAAGCTGCCTGGTGTAAGCTGACAAGCTGTGTGGAGCAAGCTGTGTGGTGTAAGTTATGCGGTGCAAATGGTGTGGTGCAAGTTATGCGACGCGATCGCTGTGGTGTAAGCTATGTCGTGAAAGGTAGATGGTGCACGTTAGGCAGTGCAACTTGTGGTAAGCGCTATGTGGTGCAAGCACTGCGGCAGCCCAGCACACGAGGCGCCCACGAAGCGCCCACGAGGCGCCCACGGGCTGGCACCAAGCGACACCGCGACTGAACCATGAGATTTCGTAAAAAGTGTCATACAACCCCCTCAGTGCAAGCAATGTTTGGGAAATGAGGTCTGCCAAACGGTATCATCACACAGCCCGACGAGGTGCACAAGTGTTCACGTCAAGTCGTGACCTTCGAGAAGATCTCAAGTGAACACCCCGTTCTGAAAGGAACCGCCCTCCATCCGTGCATCTGTGCCATCTGTTCCAGCGACTTGTCTTTCAAATCAAAGACGTGGCAAAAGAAAACCGAATGTTGAAAAGCAACCGTCCCCTACCCGTGTAACTGTTGCAAGCTGGGAATCGGCCCCATTTTGAAAAAGAGCATGTCTCCATCTTCAAAACTGGTGCTTAGGTTTGAAATGAATGTGCGCGGCGCTGCGGCCAGAGCCCCATTTTGAAAACCACCTGCCCTGGATCCTTGATGCTGGTACAAACCTATCGTATAAATGTGCGCGGCGCTAAGGCGCAAAGGTGAGAGCACCATTGCAAAAATGGCATATGCTCCATCATTTCGGTGCTGCAAGCTGCTGTAACGGATTGCACGCACAAAGACATACTAATACTACATGTCCTCCTTGGAGGCGTGCATCCGACCCGGGCACACCGTATAACCATGTTATGGAATATCGTATCCCGACTGGTATGGCCAGAAAACACCCGCCACGAAACTTATACTGTAAGATGTCTCGGCTTCTTTGGTGGGCCTATAGGCAAGCCAGGACGCCTCGCCACTGCTTGAGTCGTGGCTGCGGTTCCAAGCCCCTCCACCCCGGCCCTTGGTCGCTGAAGCAGCTATTGCAGGCAGCAGGATGACAGAAAGCCAGAGTCCCTCGAAGAATACGTCCGACTCTCGCTGGCGGTCTTGCAGCTGCCAGTGGTGGCCGCAGTCCCAGAGCACCCCCACTCCTGTGTAGACAATTACAAATGCGTGCGGGTCTACCTTCTGGACGTCGGCGCTCTTCGGACGGGCGGAAGCGGAGGACGCCAAGATTCTGGGCCCCGCTGGGGCCTCAGATCTGGCCCAAACTGGCACGCTCCCACGAGAGGCGGATCACGCCATCCCTTCTGCGGTTCTGGTCGAGCGGGCTTCCGGCCAGCGCCCATATGTGAGACAACTGGTTAGTGCTCTTGCCATCTTCGTGAGCTCGGGGGGATGCCGCCGGCCGCCCATCGAAGACAGGTGTTGATGGGCCAATTTCCCACCACCACTACAATAGGTAGGACGGCGAATAAGGTAGGATGGGGAGAGCCTCCTCCTCCTCCTCCTCCTCCTGCTACCTGTGGAAGCGGTGGTGGAACATCGGCCCATCAGGTGTGCCCTGGGAGGCGATACGAGGCGACAGGGCTCCTGCGAGGTGGACTCGCGCAGGCGGCCCTGGAAGTGGCCTCCGAAAGGGGCCTTGGGCCCTTTTCTTCACCTCCCATTCGGGCCACCCCCCATTGCCACCCGCCCGACAGAAGACTGGTGTGCCCTGGGAGGCAGCACGAGGCGCCCAGGCTCCTGAGAGGTGGACTCGTGCAGGCGGCACTGGAAGTGGCCTCCAAAAAAGGGCCCTCAAGGGCTCCTTTAGGGCTCTCTTCTTCAACCCCAACTTGGTGCGCCGCCAGAATATGTCCATGTCCACTGCCGCGGGGTTGTGTCCCAGGGACTCGGGGAGCGGTGGATATGGATACCTGCCCGCTCATGCGGGCGGGCAAACATTCATATCCACCACTCCTCGAGATCTCCGGGACACGACTCCGAAACGGTGGATGTGGACATATTCTGGCGGTGGCCTTGGGCCACTCCCCGATAAACACCCGCCCGATCGAAGACAGGTGTGCCCTGGGAGGCGGCACGAGGCGCCCGGGCTCCTGCGAGGTGAACTCGTGCAGGCGGCCCTGGAAGTGGCGGGGCACCGCCAAGAAGAACTGCCGGCACGATGGGCTGCAGCTCACCTGCCGCTCTCCGGGCAGGATGCTCCGATGCGCTTGGCTTAGGTCGGGCATACCCTCCTACAGGCGGATTTCGGGCGACAAATCACGCATAGGACAACAAATGTTGAAACATAGCCACAAATAGTAGAAAACCGTCCCCAGACTGTATTTTGGGACTATTTCTAAATAGCTAGTTATTCCTCCTGTGGAGGGGCATGCCCGTCTTAACGCTTGGTAGACCGAGCTCGGGAGTGGCCGCCGCCCTTCCAAAATACTCGCTGGCCACGCCGGCATTCTGGGTCCTCTACGACCCCACCACGGCTCGAACATGTGCGCGCGGGAACACGCGTGCGGAGTCGGCGGCACCTGGACGAGCGAAGACACGAAGCACGAGGGAGCCTGGCCCCCCCAGGGGCCCCGAAACTGGCGCGTCCCCATGGAACGCGAACTGCAGCATCCCGGGTATGCTGGGGCTTGGCTTGGCCTACGGCAGGCGCCCGACGTGTTGGGCGGAAGTGATTCGACGACTCAGCTCGTGGCACCCTCTGGCGTCCTTCGGCGCACTTCGACACCCTCGGGCCCCTCCCAGACCTGCCGTCCCGTTCTCGCCTGCACCACCTACGTAAGAATCCACCCATATATTTGCCGCATGCGGACTCAACCACTGGGGCCTTCCGTGGAGCTCCTTTTGGGGCCACGAACCGTGTGAGGGGTCTGCCAAAACAGGGCGGGGCCGCATGCGGACGCAGCCACTGGGGCCTCCCGTGGAGTTCCATGTATGGTCACGAAACGCGTGTGCCGAAATGGGGCGGGGCCGCATGCGACCGCAGCCACTGGGGCCTTCCGTGGAGCTCCCTATGGGGCCACGAGACGTGTGAGGGGTCCACCGAAATCGCGCTGTGCCGCATGCGGACTCAGCCACTGGGCCTTTCGGTGGAGAGCTCCCCACGGGGCCACGAAACGTGTGAGGGGTGTGCTGAACATAGGGCGGGGTCGCGTGCGGACGCCGGCACCGGGGCCGTCGGTGGAGCTCCCTATGGGGCCACGAAGCGTGTGAGGGGTCTGCCGAACATGGGGCGGGACCGCATGCGGACGCAGCCACTGGGACCGTCGGTGGAGCCCCCTTATGAGGCCATGAAACGTGTGAGGGGCGTGTCGACGTGTGAAAAGGGAACACGATGGTGAGGGAGTTGAGGGAGGATGGGGAGAAGGAAAAGAAGGATGATGAGACGTGCGGCGCTGTGGATTCAAAGCGGGGGCCTAACACCACAGGATGGTTGAGAACCACAGGAAGCACCCGAAGGCTCCCTAGATCAATCCATGAAGGCACAGAAATGTCATATCGTAATGCGCTGTCCCCTGGACGGACCCTAAATGGACACAGCAATATCCCCCATGTGTTGGATGCTTGGCCCTTGTGAGAGACACGCCTCCGCTTCCTCCTTCCTTCCCTTCTTCCTTCCCTCCTTCCTTCTCTCCTTGGCGCACTCACTCACTCACTCAGACACATCTGCGCTCTTTCTCGTACCCGCCCCCGCTCTTACACAAAGCCAAAACACTATAACCACCGATACCCACTTGCCTTCATGGGCCCTGGAAACGACAAGGCCGTTTTTTGCACCAATTCTGTTTTGCCGGTTCCGACGCCGTCTTTGTCACCCGTTCCGTCGCCGTTTTTGTTACCGGTTCCGGCTCCAATTCCCATCCCGGAGTCAATCATTTATCGTTTCTGGGCGCCGTTTTTTGCTTTTCCACTTTCAAGAGACAATTCTTTTCGGAAGCGATGACAAAAAAGCCCTGCCGTCTCCAGGGCCCACTAAGCCACTCACTTACTCTCTCTTTTTTTTTTTTTTTTTTTCTCTCTCTCTCTCTCTCTCTCACTTAAAGACATCCGCACTCTCATTCGCAATCCCTCGCACTGTACCCAAAAATCCGATGTCTGGATTTTTTCAATACAGGGTTCCCGGAAGTCTCGACCCATTCCCGAGGACCCGTTTTTCATCCTGAGTCGTTATTTGACGAGGGCCCCTAGAGGCCGAAAACTGCGAAACACCTCCTTCTTGATTTTTTCAATGCGTTGGATCTCTGGGTCCCTCGCGCACTGTAGCTGACCATTTCTTCTTCTTGTTCAATGCTCCTCCTGCAGGAAGACGTGCTCGACGGAATCCTATCCTTGCGTTCGGCCGGGCGCCACCGGTGGGGAGAGCCGCAGGCCCTATGGGCCGACGAGCGGCCCGCGGGGCAGTGGTCGGGGGGGGGCTGCCCGTGGGCGCGGGCTCGCAGCTGTCAGGCAAGGCGCGCTCCACGACTCCCAGAGCAACTGCACGCAGGTGGCCTCGATCCGCCGCGGGGGATCTGCGATAGCTCACGCCGATGCGAGCAACTTTGTTTGAACATTTGCGAATGGACTTATGAGGTTCCAAACTACTTCAGCCTCAATCACCAGATCCTGTTCTGGGTGCTCGAACTTATGTCTGGGATGTTGTCCTTAAGTACGACGGGAGGAACATAAGAGTATGCGCTCTGCGAATACCCATCGGTCGGAAGAAGTAGGTAGAAACATTAAAAAGAAGTGTGTTGGAAATAGATTGGGCTTCCGCCCACCCCCTGAAAAGGAGGGAAGAGGGACAATCGTTCGACTCTTGGAGTAGGAAGGCGGCTAAAGTAGATTGGGAACTGGGACTCCAAAGATACCTACTGTCAACGACCGATGGGCAGGCACTCTGCGAGTCCTGGAGCGCGCTCGGTGAGCTGCCAACGTCCGTCAGAGATGCCCGGGCCCGCGGCTCGTGCCCTCGAGGTGCTCTCCCTGCCCTGGAGCTGGACGGGTGCCCCTCCCCAAAGGGGCCACCGTGCACTCGGCCCGTGCAGTTAAGGCTGCGCCGATACCGATCGGTCGGAAGAGGTAGGTACAACCATGAAGTAGGAAGGCGTTGGAAGTAGATTGGGTGTCCGCCCGCCCCCACAAAAGGAGGATTGAAAAAGGTGAAGACACTCGATCATTGAAGCAGGAAGGCGCTTGAGGTATATTGGAATCTGGTGATCCACATGTGCCAACTTTTAACGACAGATGGGTAAGGATGTAAGGGCCCTCGACGCCCTTTTCGACTGCGAGGCAGGGATTTATCCATATCCACCGCCTGGGAACCGGCGTCCTGGTACACCAGCGAGCTGTGGATATGGACATATTTGGGCCCCTGGGGGCCCGAATATGTCCATATCCACCGCCTGCCGAGGTCCCAGAACACTGATCCTCCAGGCGGTGGCCATGTGTAAATTCCCGCCTCGGATCGACGCTCTTCGAGCGGGGCGCGGCCAACGAAAGCGGCGAAGGATGGACCGAGGAGGCAAGCATGCAAGGGTACCCTTGGGAAGGCTGCCAATCCTTACCGTGCGGGTTGACTATGGTCCCTGCGCGGGGCAAGCGCCGCTGAATCCACACACCCCTACGGTCTGGCAGGGGAGAGCGCAGGCAGGACTGGCAGGCGGGAGGAGCACCTCGCGCGCCACGGCCCACAATATCGCCGAGACCTCCTGGGGCTTGTACGCATGGAGGTGCTTCTCCGTGACCTCTGGCTGGCCCCGCCCAGGGCTCCCCCCCAGCAGAGAGGAGGCGGAAGCGGGGGAGGAAAGGCAGGGGGAGGATGAGGGGATGGGAAGGACGAGAGGGGGGGGAAGACAGTGGGAAGGAGGCAGAGTAACAGGAGAGGACGGAGGGGAAACATGGATATGAGGCCAGGGTACAGTATGATAAACGACTGTCTTGTCGACCAGTCTCGAGACAAGGGATGGGTTGGCGAGCTCTGCCTCGAGACAAGGAATGGCTTGGCGAACTCCCAATCCGCAGTGTGATTCGCTCAACTTTGCCTTCCCTGCGCGCACGCGCACTTATCCGCCCCCCCCGCCTCCTGCTTCTCATCCTCCTACACCTCCCCTTGACAACGCGTCATCCTCCTTCTCTGTCTCCCTTCTGCCTCCTCCCTCCTCCATCGGCGTCCCTTTTCCCCTCCCCTCGCTCCTTCCTGGTGATCCTCCCTCCTCGATCCCCCAGAGTGCTTTCCGGGCCATATTTCGGGGCGGACCCAGCCGTTGCCGCAAGAGCTGCGCAGGAGGCCTCCAAACACAGCGTTTGCCAGCGGGGTCCCGCACAGCGATCTCTTGCACAATGGTTGTGCAAACTGCACGACGTATAGTGTAAGCTATGCGCGATGCATGCAGACTGGGGCGGTATGTGGTGCAAGTTATGGAGCGACAGCGGTGTGATGCAATGTGTGTGTACGGTGAAAGCTACGTGGTGCAAACTATGCGGTGTGAGATATGTGGCGAGGCGGTGTGAGGCGTAAAAGGAACTTGGTGCAAGTTTTGTAACGCAAGCAGAAGCGCAAGCAGCGCGAAGCGCCCGCGAGGCGCCCAGGGTCGCCCACCAGGCGACACCTCGGCAGAACCGCCCAGCACACGGGGCGCCCACGAGGCGCCCACGGCATGGGGCGTTGATCCCAGCAGCGGGGCTGATGACATCAAGCTGCCCAGCACCAATAACCTCTGGGTCGCGCCACGCGACCGTGATCGTCCAAGTGCCGCCCAAATGCACGAGCTTCACGAATCCGAGCGTGGAGACTTGGTCAACGAATCTCTGGAACGTGTTTTGTATGATGGTGCTCAAGACAAGGTTAGCGCAATGCCTCTGGAAACGAGCTAAGCAATGGCGAAGTAGCAGCTCGAAAGATACAATGGCCTCGCAATTGAACTGTTGAGCTTGGCTGAAACAGTGGTGACGGAAAACGTCCATGACATCGGCGAGAAACCATATTCATCGAACCGACGCCGGGCTGCTTGTCGCTCTGTAGGTGATGGCGCCTCCTCGCACGAAGCAAGAGCTGGTTAGGAGTACTGAGCTGATGACGTCTGGTGGGGTAGAGGCCTCCACGTCTGACTGCTTCTCGCACTGTAGCTGATAACGTCTGGCTGCTTCTCGCTCTGTGGCTAATGGCGCCTTCTCGAGGTCTCCTCTTCTGACTGCTTTTCGCACTGATGGCGTCTGACTGCTTGTCGTACTGTGGCTGATGGCGCCTTTTCGCGCGATGCCTGCTGACACTGCCTGTCGGTTCCGCACGAGCTGGCCCCACTGCTGTAGCTGATGACGTCTGGCTGCAGGGCCTCCACTTCTGGCTGCCTCTCTCGCAGTAGCTGATGACGGCTGGCTGCTTCTCGCTCTGAAGGTGATGACGCCTCCTCGAACGAAGCATGATGCCACTGCCGACCGTTCTCGCACGAGCTGGTCAGAAAACTGGAGCTGATGACGTCTGGCTGCTTCTCGCTCTGTGGCTGATGACGCCATTTCGCACGGAGCCTGCTGCCAGTGCCGTCCGTTTACGCACAAGCTGGTCCCACTGCTGTAGCTGATGACGTCTGGCTGCATCGAGGCTTCATCTTCTGACGGCTTCCCGCTCTGTAACTGATGGCGTCTGGCTGCTTCTCGCTCTGTGGCGGATGACGCCCTATCTCGCACGAGCTGGTCAGAGTACTGGAAGTGATGACGTCTGGCTGCAACGGGGCCTCCACTTCTGGCTGCCTCTCGCGCTGTACCTGGCTGCCTCTCGCAATGTAGCTGGTGACGCCTCCTCGCACCGAGTCTGCTGCCACTGCTGCCCGTTCTCGCACGTCCTGCTTCCAGAGCTGGAGATGATGGCATTGGGTGGATGTTCTCAGACTTTCTGCTGCAACTGCTGCCCGTCCTCGCATGTGCCTGTCCCCGCGCTGTAACGGATGATGTCCGTTGGTACGCCACCTCCTAATCTTTGCTGCCGCTGCCGCCCATACTCGCACATGCTGCTGCCTATGCCGCCAAACTCGTCAAGGTGGTCGTCCTGCTGGCAGGTGGGGGCGAGGGCGTCGACGCCAAAGAGGTAGGACTCCAGATCAGGCCAAGGGTCCTCGCAGAAGGCGGGGACGTACTTAGAGCCGTAATAGTCAGAGCCATCGTCCCGGACATGGCCCACGAAGTTGTCCTCATAGCTGCTGTACTCTTCGCCCACGTGGTTGACGCGTCTGTCGTGCCACTGCTGGCCTCGGAATGACGATGTACTTCAGCTGGCCGGTCGAGGTCACCACCTTCTGGCCGGCGTCCTGCTCCACGCGCTGCTCGTTGGAGCCGTGCTGCTGCTCTGCGACTCCTGGTGCGACTCCCAGGGCCCCGAGTCGCGGTCCTGCAGCAGCCTCCGCCAGTTCGCCCTGCGAGGCCGCGGCGAACCCCGCGGCGAGGCTACTGCCACGTGCCACGCTGCGCTCCGCCGACGGCGCGCCGCGCGTGGCACCCTCCTGCCCTCGGCTGCCAGGCGGAGGGCCTGGCGCGAGGCCAGCTCGCGGTCCTCCCAGGAGCCAAGACCCCAGCGCCCGCGCAGTTTCCGGAGTGCCTCCCCACAGGCCAGCTGCGGCCGCCTTCGGGCTGCCCACCTGGCGGCCGATGGCCCGAGCCGTGCGGCCTCCTCGGCTCGCATGGGCCGCCGCGCGAACGCCGCCGGCGGCCCCCGCTGCCATCCTCGCAGCAAGCGTCGCCATCGGCCAGAAATGGCAATGGCGGAAAGCAGGAGAACCAACCCTGAGCCAAAATGGCTACGGAGGCTCCTCCTCCTGCTCCTTTTCCTCCTCCTCCTCCCTCTCCTCCTCATCCTCCTCCTCCTCCTCCTCGTCTTCGTCCTCCTCCTTCTCCCTCTCCTCTTCCCCCTCCTCCTCCCCTTCCTCCTCCTCCTCCTCCTCCTCCTCCTCCTCCTCCTCCTCCTCCTCCTCCTCAACCTCCTGCTCGTCCTGCTCCTCCTCTCCTCTTCCTCCTCCGTCCTCCTGCGTCCTCCTCCGTTCTCCTCCTCCTCCTTGCCGTCCTCCTCCTCCTCCTCCTCCTCCTCCTCCTCCCCTTCTTCTTCCTCCTCCTCCTCCTATCCTCACCCCCTTCCTCCTCCTCCTCCTTCCTCCTCCTCCTCCTCCTCCTCCTCCTCCCCATCTTGCTCCTCCTCCTCCGTTCTCCTCCTCCTCCTTGCCGTCCTCCTCCTCCTCTTCCTTCTCCTCCTCCTCCTCCTCCTCCTCCTCGACACAGCCCTGCGCGACGATAAGTCTCGCCGCACACCTTTGAATGCAATGGGTGGCGCTTCCCCTTTGATGCGGGGCCATTACCACTTGCGCCACCATGCACTCCCGTTCACCCCTCGGGTGAAACAAAAAACCCCAACGAGTTACGTGACAGAGGAGCCCGACTCTCCAGCGCGAATCAGGAGGCCCGAGCGGAGTGGCTGCACCAGAGGGCGCCACTCCTTGTTCACAGAGAACCGTGCGGGTGTGCGGCCAAGGTTCGACAATACCCTCGCTCCCCACGACTTCGGCTGCGGCGGCCCCGAGCAGCAGGTGGAGAGCGAGACCGAGACCAGAGTCCCCCCATACCCGCACACAACACACACAACACACACCACACCCGCCCAGCCACCCCGCCCACCTGGAACGGATGAATGACATGCTGCCTGCCTGGCGCCGACGCCACTCGCGCACATGCGAGGTCGGCGCGCGAGAGCACGGGCGGCACGACGGCAGGTGGCGGCAGCACGACAAGGGGCGGCAGGCGGGGACCACGCGCCCGCGCCGTCCTCTCCTTGTCTGTGGCATGCACGGCGTCGAGGTCGGCCATTACAGGCCCAATCTTGGCGACCCATGCAGCAAGACGAGAGAGAACCTTAGCCTTGGCCTGATGCGCCTGTCGCACTGGCAGGGGTACTCTCGATCTGTCTGCCTGCCATCGTGCCCAATCATCTGCACGCATATTACCTTCAAACTCTAAGGGGGAGATCTCACCTCGCTGGAGGCTAGCACGCGTGCTGTGCGCCTTGACCTTGCGCACATCCACATGCTCGAGACCCCCCCATTCATCGATCTGCAGCCAAATCTGAACCCAAACTTCGGCCCAGGCACTGCGGCTGCTGCAACAGTACTCGCGCCCGCGCACATGCAACCCGTCGTGCACGAAAGCGCTGTCAGTGTACAGGATCGTGCCAGGGGTGCAGTGCTGCAAGGCTCGCAACAACGCCACGAGCTCGGCAGCGTCGATATCGGCACAGGCCATCACAAGCGTGCCGCAAAACACTGAGAGCGTCCTGAACGGATATTCAGGCTGCACAGCAACCAGGGCCCAAGCGAGGGCCTGGGAGGGCCCAGGGAGGTCCTGGTCCATCCAGGACCCGTCCAGAAAAACATGCCCCCCCATGTCGGCGGGCCCGCCCGAAAACCACCTGGCAGGAGGCTCGAGGGAGGGAAGGGGGGCAGCAGCAGGGCAGAGGAGCCTCTCGGCAAGGAGGCGAGGGAGGGTGGAAGTGGATGCTTGCACCAGCCCAGTCAAAAACTCTAGAGGTTCCTCGTGGGGAAGCAGCTCCTCGTGCCTTCCGCGCGCTCCATGTCTGTGCAACAAAGTCCCTGGAGCGTCCTGACAGGCCAGGCACGTGGGCTGAGAAACCATACCGCACTCCCATTGCCTGTGCTGCGGCCACTGCCCTCCAGCAATCACAGATCGAAGGTAGCCTTTCTCTTGAGGCGAGAGCTTCTTCGATCGCAAAAGAGAGAGGATGGGGTCAAGGTTGCATCCGTTAGCCAACTCAGGCACACCCTCACGCTCAGCAACTTTGGCCCACAACCAATCTTGAATCACCCGACAAAGCCATGTGCGGACAGTGCGTGGAGACTGCCCACGCACGCTAATCGCACCAACTTTGGGATGATCCCAATAAAAACCATCCATGGAAAAATCCAGGCGCTTCGCAGTGGCCACGCAGGCCGAAAACGGGCCTCGACGGCAGCCCACGGGTTCCCATGGTCCCTGAAGAGTTGCCAGGCCTCCTGAAGACCTTGCTCCAAAACGCGCCTGGGCAGCAGATCATCCCAGACAGCAGTGGCAAAGGCCAGAAGCGGATCCAACTGCAGCTGAAAGGCAGGATCGCAGGAGGGCTTATCGGACAGCATCAGAAGCAGAGTGACACTTTTTCCCGCGAGACGATTGCTCTGCACATGCGCCTGCAAAGACCGAGCCTCGCGCAACAAAGTAGAGTTCGTGCCGTGCACGCTGCCCCCATACTTGACGGAGGCCATGACAGCGGACTGAATCATGTGGTGAACCCTGCGCTTAGCAATGTGCTTACCAAAACTCACAAGCTTGCGAGCCCGAGCACGCGCTGGACTCCTGCGCTCGCGACGTGTAGCTTGAGACATAACACGCGCAGCAGCAAAATCGATCCCAAGATTACGCTCATGGCTCACTCCTTTGACCTTATAGCGGGCCAGCCTGCGCACCAGGGAGGCACGAACCAGATGCGACGACCCCACGACCTTCGACTTACGACGGGCGACAGGAAGATGAACGGCCTCGAGCTCCTGATGCAGCAAGCACGTGGCACCTGAAAGATCGGCAATGACATCACAATCTCGACCTACATGATGCAAACCGAAGTCGTCCACACCGACACCCAGTCGCACCAGTCTATAGCGATCCACGACCCTGTCGACAGGGCCAAGGAGAATCATCTGCAACATAAGCGTGGCAAAGTGACAGCCAGGCAGCACAGCCTGCAGAGTGCACACAGGTTCGGACACAGCATTATCCAAACTTAAAACCCGCGGAAGGCGGTAGAGCTCAACGAGGGGCTTCAGCTGGCGGAGTGGAAACCCCGACTCCGACGCAGCTCTTACCAACTCACTGTGTCTAATGTGCTCGAAGGCCTTCTGAAGGTCCAACAGCACCAAAGCACTGGACATGTCACGGGAAAGCGCCCATTCAGACGAGGCGGCTTGCACCCAGACCAGCTTGTCGCTGCTGCGGCCTGAGGTGGCCCACCAATATGGGCGCGCGTGTGCAGCCTGCCACTGGGACACTAATGACTTCCGCAGCCTACCCTGCACTCGCGCCAAGATATGGATGAGGGCTATGGGGCGCAGCCCCCCATCACGTTTGGCAGGGAAAACAACCTTGGTCCAGATGGTGGGCCACGAGCACGAGCTTTCAACAACAGCCAACACGTCCAGGAAGGCATCAAGGGCCTGGTCCGAGAGCACGAGCAACTGTCTGGGGCTGATCTGGTCGAAGCCACACCCTGACCGCTTGGGAAAGGACTTCAGGCATCTCTTTAAATCGTCCAGGGAGGGCCTGGGAAACTCTGGCCCTAAATCTGGCCAACAAATCTCATCCTCGAGGGCGCCCACCTTCCACCACCCAGCCCACTCCTCCTCCAAAAGCGAAACCTCCTCCTGTAAGGTGGCAGGCGCTCCTGAGGGGGACATGCTGCTGGCATGCCAGGGGGTGGCTGGCTTGCTACATGCGTACAGGGCAGCTCCTCCATTAAGTGAGTGCGCTTGCACCCACTCCTTCCAATTCTGATTCTTGGCCTTCTCGGCCATACGATGCTCTAAAGCTGCTTGCTTGTGCGCTAGCTTGGCGAGCGCAGAAGCAAGAGGATATGTCAGCTCACGTGCATACTCCAGCAGGTGCAGCCAGGGTTGAGACCTGTCTGCTTCAACCTTGGCCTTCTTGGCCAAGCCGGGCAAGCTTCGGGCCAACTTCAGCGTTCCAGAACGAAGGGCCCCAGGTTGCCAGACCCCAAGGCCATCCAAACATCGGGCGAGGAGACGCCACCAAAGAGCCCCTGGAGACAGACGGGGAAAGGCAAGGTCCCTAGGGGCTTTAGGCTTGCAAACTTGAAAGCGCGGGCCCTCAGACCTGCCGAAGTACTCGCTGTCAGTCTCGAGGTCGAGGCCGTAGACGTCTGCCCAGTCGCGCTCCGCGAAGTCCAGCCATAGCCGCCAGGCGGCATCGAGAGGTAGCCCATTGCGTCGCAGACAGTACTGCTGCCAAAGATCGCTTGGGTCCAGCGCGCGGCAGCCCATGGGTACATCCTGCGGCAGCCGCTTAGGCACCCTGGCCACCAGGTGCGCCATCTCGGCCACGGTGCGCGGCCGCAGAGTAAGCACCACAGGGAAGTGCGGCGACGTGCCCACGTCAAACAGCACCTCGGCCTTGGCCCCATGATGAAGGGACCGTGACATCACGAAGTAGTCAATACAACGACCAGCGCTAGCCGAACTGTTCGTGCAATCCTCCTCCTCCTCCTCCTCCTCCTCCTCCTCCTCCTCCTCCCTCCCTTTCTCCTCCTTCCCATCCTCCTGCTCCTCCACCTCCTCCTCCTCCTCATCCTCCTCCCCTCTCGTCCTCGTCCTCCTCCTCCTCTTCCTCCTCATCGTCCTCCTCGTCTTCGTCCTCCTCCTCTTCCTCGTCCTCTTCATCCTCCTCCTTCTCCTCTTCCCCCTCCTCCTCCCCTTCCTTCTCCCCCTCCTTCTCCTCTTCCTCCTCCTGCTCCTCTTTCTCTTCCTCCTCCTCCTCCTCCGTCCTCCTGCGTCCTCCTCCGTCCTCCTTCTCTTCTTCTTCCGCCCCTCCTCCTCCTCCTCCCTCCTCTCCTTCGTACTGCTCCTCCTCCTCCTCCTTCTCCTCCTTTCCCTTCTCATCCTCCTCTTCCTCCTCCTGCTCCTCCTCTCCTCCTCCTCTCCTCTCCTCCTCTCCTCCTCCTCCTCCTCCTCCCTCCTCCTCCTCCTCCTCCTCCTCCTCCTCCTCCTCCTGCTTTTCCTCCTCCTCATCATCATCATCATCCCTTCCCCCCTCGTCCTCGTCCTCGTCCTCCTCATCATCCTCCTGCTCCTCCCCCTCCTCGACACCCCCCCTCGCACCCTCCCGTTCCGCGCCCCCGCGGGCGGCCTCCCCTCGAACCCACGACGGGGGCGCCACGGCCGACGAGCGGCCGCACGACGAGCGGCCGAACAGCGGGCCTGGAGGCTTCCCAGGTGGGTCCGAGCAGACGGGGGAGGAGCAGGGGAACGAACAACGACAGAACCAGAAAACTCGGAGGTCCGCGCAAATTTCTCGGATCGGCGCTGGACCCCCATGGCGGCGCCTCCGGCGCGGCCCCTGGCGCGCTCCGCGAGCCAGGGAGGGGGGTCCAGCGCCGATACTAGATATCCGCGTGGACGTCCGAGTTTTTATGTTTATGTCATTGTTCGTTTCCCTAGGGAGGAGGAGGAGGCGGAGGAGGAGGAGGCGGAGGAGGAGGAGGCGGAGGAGGAGGAGGAGGGGGGTGAGGAGGACGAGGAGGAGGAAGAAGAGGAGGAGGAGGACGAGGAGGAGGAGGAGGACGATGAGGAGGAAGAGGAAGAAGAGGAGGAAGAGGAGGAAGAGGAGGAGGAGGCGACCGGGCGCGCCCACCTTGGGCACTGAGCAGATTGGGTCGGAGGATTGCGCCGCATCGCCGAGGCATCGCCGACACATCGCCGAGGCGTCGGCGACGCTGGCGATGCTTCGGCGACGGCGGGATGCATCACCGATGCACCAACAATGCGGTGCGATCCGCCGACCCAATCTCCTCACAAAGGGGGTGACCATGGGGCGAGCATCACGACCACCCCGGTTCCCCAGGCCAGGCGGAGGGCCGTCCTTAATCAAAGTGGCCGCCGGATTCCCCAGCGATTTCCCCTGTTGGGGGTGGGTGTGCGTCGAAACAAAAAAGTCCATGCATTTCCTCGCGGGGTGCGCCTCCCAACCAGTGGGCGGGTCTGGTCAATTCAAGACGGATTTCTCCGTGAAGTGGCCGAAGAAAGGGTTGGGGCACGTTCTACTGGTCGCCCCCCATATCTCCTCTGACCCGATCTGGGAGGCCCAGATAGGGAGCCTACAAAGGACGCACGCCTCCACCCACGTACATGAGTATGGCCCCCCAGTCAGCAGAAACCAGCCGCATGATACGAAGGTTCATACAATGCGTACAGTCGGACTTAGGCCAGAAGTACATCCCTCAAGAACATGAGACCCTCCGTCGGCCAAAACAAGCAGAACGTCCAAGGGCACCCTCCCCAGGATGCACAAGAACGTCCAACAAACACGAAAAACATTATTTGGGGTAATCACCCTTGCGGAGCCAACCACGATCTTATACCTCCGTGCGACTGCACTCTCGAAAGCAACGTGAATTGGATCCACGTGCGTGCACGTCCTTCCCTCGCTCCTGGCTAGGGAGGGACCGCGGAGGACCCTACCGACCCCCGCCCGTCGGCGTCACCCGTTCCCCCTCCCCCCTTGGTAGAGGCCTCCCGGATGGGGTCGGAGTAGATGGGGGAGGAGGAGGAGGAGGAGGAGGAGGAGGAGGAGGAGGAGGAGGAGAGGAGAAAGGGGGAGGAGGAGGAGGAGGAGGAGGCGGAGGAGGAGGAGGAGGAGGACGAGGAGGAGGAGCAGAGAGGAGGAGAGAGGAGGAGGAGGAGGAAGAGAGGAGGAAGAGGAGCAGGAGGAGGAGGAAGAGGAGGAGCAGAAGGAGGAGGAAAAGGAGGACGAGGAGGTGGAGGACGAGGAGGAGGTGGAGGAGATGGGGTCGGAGGATCGCGGCGCATCGCCAATGCATCGGCGATACATTGGTGAGGCATCGCCTTCGGCGAGTCGTCGACGACGTCGGCGTTGAGGAAATCGGGCTCCGCCTCGAGCCGCATCGCCGATGCATCGGCTATGCGGCGCGATCCTCCGACCCCATCCACTCCGACCCCATCCAGGAGGCAAAGACCCTGGGCGCCCCGCCTCGAGCAGCGGCGGGAACAGGCGCCAGCGGGAGGGCACCCCCAGCTTCGCGTAGGCCCACCTGGCTCTCCGAGGGAGGGTTGCGAGGCGCGGCCCTGCCTCAGGCACCGCCCTGGGCATGGCCCCCTGGGCCCTCTGGAGGAGGGGCTTTGCTTTCTCCTCGGCCCCTGGAGGAGGATGGGCTTGGCCCCGGGCCATCCTGCACTGCGCACCGCCAGGCCCTCGCCCCGACGCCGCCTCGCCGCGCGTCTCCGTCTCCTGGCCTCCCCCTCCCCCCCTCCACCTCCCACTCCTCCTCCTCCCCCTTCACCTCCTCCTCCTGCTCCTCGTCCTCGTCTTCCGTCCAATGGGAACACCCGTGACGACCCAAAACAACAGCCCGTGGGGACGGGATCGAGTGTTCCGAGGGCCCCGCGCTATGAATAAACAGCAATGACGACGGTGCAGCAGGTTCGTGTCGTATCGCCCGTCGCGAGCGTTCCAAGGTTGAACGCCGCCAGTGGCCTAGAGTCGGCCATTGTGGAACGGTCTAGCGACCGAGAAGGTGCCGATCGTTCAAGATTGAGCGATCAAGGCGATGTCAGAAACCCACGCCGGGGTCGTTTCGACATGCACCCGCCGTACGGGGGAGGATGGCGGCGTAGACGTTGGCAGGGCGGCCTTTCGAGTGAGGTGCGTGTGCGGACTTCTCGCGTTTATTCCCCCCTTCCTCCCCGTGTCCCGCCAGCTCATCCCCATCTGTACTCCTCCTTTGTCCTACCCTCTCCGTGCTCAGCCAAATATCAAATCATCATACCCTCCTTCATTGTCGTCATCATCATCATCATCATCATCATCATCATCATCAGCATCATCATCATCATCATCATCATCGTCATCGTCATCGGCATCACCAACATCATCATGCGCAGCACCACAATCATCATCAACATCAGCATCAGCAGCGGCACCACAATCATCGTAATCTTCTTCATTAGCATCACTATCAGCATCACCATGTTCAACATCACCATCATCACCATCATACTGATCACCATAATCATCACCATCATCATCACAAGCAGCATCACCACCAATGTCATCATCATCACACTCACAATCACCACCACCATCATTATCATCATCATCATCATCATCAACACCATCATCATCGTCATCATCACCACCATCATCTTCGTCATTTGCATCATCGCCATCACTATCATACGCATCATCGTCATCATCATCATCAGCATTACCAGCATCATCATCATCGTCATCACCAGCATCAGTATCAGCATCATCATCACCGTCATCATCATTGTCATCAGTATCACCATGAGCATGATCATCATCATCAGCATCAGCATCAGCATCATCATCATCATCATCACCCTCATCATTATCATCATGGACAGCATCACCATCATAGTCAGCATCGTCGCCATGACCACAGCTACCATTATCATTATCACCATGACAACCATATTCATCGTCAGCAGCATTACCAACCTTATCATCATCATTACCATCATCACCATCATTACCATCATCATCATCATCATCCGAATCTTCTTCGTCAACACCCCCATCATCACCATCATCACGATCATCATCATCACCATCATCATCACAAGCACCATCACCATCATCATCATTTTCATCATCGCACTCAGCATCACCATCATCACCATCACCACCAACACCATCACCATCACCACCATTATCACCATCAACATGATCGTCATCAGCATCAACATCAGCATCAATATCATCATCATCATCATCATCATCATCATCATCATCATCATCATCATCATCATCATCATCATCATCATCATCGTCAACCTCATCATCACCACCACCGTCATCATCATCCCCATCACCATCACCACCACCACCATCACTACCATCACCATCATCACCATCACCAGCACCATCACCATTATCATCACCAGCATCATCATCAGCATCATCATTCTCAGCAACGTCATCATCACCACCATCAACTTCATGATCATGATCATGATCAACATCATCGTCATCATCATCATCACCGTCACCGTCATCATCATCATCATCATCATCATCATCATCAGCATCATCATCATCATCATCATCATCATCATCCTCAACTAAATCCTCATCCTCATCCTCATCCTCATCCTCATCCTGGTCTCCCTCCCTCTCTCCCTCCCCCGTCTTCGACTCCTCCTCCTGCAGAAGATGATGAGTGCGGGGTGGACGTGCGGATTCCTCCCACGCGCCTCCCTCCCCTCTCCCGCCCTCCTCCGCCCCAAGGCTGGACCTAAACGTTGTGCTTCGTTTTGTGCTTCGTTCTGCTCCACCTGTACCTCCCTCCCGAAACGAACAACAAAACACGGCCGAAGCCCAGCAACGCAGCGTTTAGGTCCCGCCCTCCTCCGTCCCCGGCGTTCCGCGGTGCCGGGAGGCCGCCGCAGGGCCCGCTCGGGAGCTCGTGACTCCTGTGAACGCTCTCGCCAGCCCGTGGCGCGGCAGCCCCTCCGCCCGGCAGGATGCCTCAACGACCTTCCCGTCTCCCGGTTCCCCGCCCCCACACAGAAGGAATACACCCATCTCCAACCCGCCACAAATAGGCGATCACAGGCAATCAGGCGCAGAAGAAATCCCCACCACCAGACGCTCTACCGCAAGACAAATAATACGCATCAGCAGGCAAAACACAAGACGTGAGAGACGCATCGTTGAATAGAACCAGATTTTGACCTTTATCCCCCCCCCTTCTCCCCCCCAATTGTGAGGAGCCGAGGCGTCAAGGCTGGGCTGGACTATGGGCGAGGTGTCAGGCTCGGGCACCGCCATACTCCCTCCCTCCCTCCCTCCCTCCATCCCTTCCTCCGTTCTCCCTCCTCTTCCTCCTCCCCCCTTCCCCGCGTCGTCGTCGTTGTTGTCGTCGTCGTCGCCGCTGTCTTCATCGTCGTCGTCGTCGTCGACCCCCCCCCTCCTCCACCATCCCTTTTGGTCCTCCTCCGCCTCCTCGTCCGCCGCGCCGTCGTCCTGGGAGGCGCTGAAGTGGTGTGTGTGTGTGTGCGGGGGGCAAGCGGTCTCTCTCTCTCTCTCTCTCTTTCTCTCTCCTCATCCTCTCTCACGAGAGTCGCTGTGGCGCCCCCCCTCCCGGGAGACCCTCTCCCCGGGGCGGAGCCCGCGCTCGCCGACCGCTTCCCAGCGGCCCGTTGCGGCAAGTCGCGCGGGCTTGGCGGGAGGGCCCTGCTTTAAGCCCCATGCCTGGCGCCGTGTCGTCGACAGGTGAAGGGTGTGCCCCAACAGGTGGCCTCCCTCCCTCCTGTGGCCCATCCCCTACTCACTCGGCAAGGCGCTGGGGTGATGTAGCCTGGAGGCCGTCCACGAAACTGTGGCCAAGTGGGCGTTCCCCAAAACCACGCCCCCGCGGGACCCGCAGTCTGTCTCCGGGCCACAAGCCAGCCCCTCCTCCTCCTTCTCCTCCTCCTCCTCCTTTTTCATCCTCCACCGTCTCTTCCTTTTCCTCCTCCTCCTCCTCCTCCTCTTCCTCCTCCTCCTCCTCCTCCTCCTCCGCCTCTTCCTCCTTCTCCTCCCCCTCCTTTTCTTCCACGTTTTTGGTGCTGCACATGCGTCGGCTATCGTGAGCCATCAAGTCTTGCGAAAGCGATCTGGTAAACACAACCTCATATTGCACGAGCAATACGAACATCGAACACGTATCACTCTCGTGCAGACTAAGCCGAATCGGAAGTGGGCAGAGAAACTGAAAAAGCGGAGAAGTTCGCACGGGTGAGATCAATATCCTCCTCCTCCTCCTCTTCCTCCTCCTCCCCCTCCTCCTCCTCCTCCTCTTCGTCATACCTCGCCTGCTCCTCCGCCAGACCGCTTCCCTTGCAAATGAAAAATCACCCTCGCCGCGCCCCCGAACATGTCGACGGAGCAGGCTGGGCATTCCAACGCCTAATCATACAGGAACGGGACGTGCACATTCCATCTGCCGCAAATGGCAACGCGAACACGCCCATCAGACACGTGTGAGGCTGAGCAACAAAAGCAGCGCGATCGCGTGGAATATATACGGTAAGCCGTTGCGCTGAACGCTCCCTCGGACAGACGCGAGGAAATGCCAGGCGCAACGTGCCCCAAAACCATCCAAATATAGCCGAACCGGCCCACGCAGGCTCCAAGACTCCTTCAAGACGCCCGAAGAAGTTTCCAAGAGACGGCACAAGAGGCCTCCAGCGAGGCCCGAAGAGGCCAGAACCATTGAAACACCGATTACGTGTTATGGGAAGAGCTACTGATCAAGAGCGATCCCGCCCGACCCACCCATTGGCCAACCCGAACCAACCCTTTGGCCAACGCTGGCCAACGCTGCTGGCCAGCCCTGGTCAGTGCCATTCTATCAACAGATGAGAGGAAGAAAACCAATGCGTTTGCTTCCAGGGCTGTTCAGCTTCCGTCCAGAGAGCTCCAAGAAGCCCCCAGGATGGCCCAAGACAGCGACGAGAGACCCCAGGGACTGCCCGAGAACCCTCAGAAAGGCCCAAGAAAGATCCGAACCAGCCTAAACACCCGAACCTACCCAAACGTCCCCAGGACTCATGGCTGCAAGGTGACCGACTCTGGTACGAAGAAACACAAGTGGCCATGATGAGCCGGCCTTAGCGATCCTTGGACAGAGAACTGTGAAGGCGTGTCCAACATTGCAACTTGCGCTCTCGCGGAGGAGTGTCCACATGGGCAACTTGCGAGAGACTGCCGTCTCAGTCAGGAAAGGGACCCTCCGCCGGGGGGTCTGGGCTGGTTGGGGCCCCAGCACGTCGGCCACGAGAGGGGGATGCGGTCAAATCTGCTCAAAGTCGGTCCACGGATCCCTCCCGATGTCCATCTGGCCATTATTCGCCCCGGATCCTCCTGAGACCGAAAGCGGCCGCGGGAGGCAACCAGAAGGGGCGGCGAAGGAAAAAGGGGCGCGCGGGCATATCCGTCGCCTTGCTTTTCTTGAGGACCTCATCATCTGAACTGCCCCACTTCAAACGTGGCACATCCTCGCATATGTATGTTTGTGTCTGCACC